TTATGCTTTATTTAATTAACTTTAATGCTTATTACGTTTTCGGGCAAGATCCCAAGTTGTTTGACTTTAAAAAGGCTTCCGCATTATTTTAAATTACTCCGATGGATTTTTATATGTATTGAAAGAACGTTTGTTTAAAATTGTTTTGAAAATGTTGCAAATTCGGATACCAATCCAGTGGCACACCGGTCCGCTGTCTCACGGGTTTGGGTCATGCGGGTTGGGGTGTTACATCATTACTCTGTATTATTATTATTACTATTATTATTATTATTATCATCATCTAAAATTGAATTCAAATTACTATTATAATTGAATTTGAATTTGCATTCAAATTATTATTATTATTACTAACATAATAATTTACTAAAAAACATAAAATAGAAACAACAATTATTTCTCTTACTATTAGTATTATTACTCTTATTATGATTACAATTATTATTTTTCAAATCAATATTATTATTTTAACATTATATATTTTTTAGAATTTTTCTAATTTGATCTAAATCGATTTGATCTGATCTTATCTTAACAAATATTATATAGTTTGATTTGAATGGATCTAGTCTGATTTGATTTCAATAAGAATATATAATAAATAGCTTTATAATACATCCATATGAATGAGATCCAATTTATTAAGATTTCATTTGATTTAATCTCGTTTGGTTGTAGTGATATATAAAACAATTTTGTATCTGGACAGATATGGTCAAATTTGATGTGATCTTATTCCACTAAGAATACGCTGGAAAAAACAACTTGTGTGTCCATTTTTTAATGACTTGTTTTGTGAATATAGATTTAATGATATTTGACAATAACGTTTTAAATTAATGATAGCATTTTTCATTATTTTTTAATAGTTCAAATTCAAATTGAAAATGTTAAAGCAAAATATTTCTACTTCATTCGCCTCAAAAAAGTTTTCAAAGACAAGAAAAGGTGTGCCTTAAAAATTGGTAATTTTGATATTATTTTCTAATTATGACTTATCTATCTGATATATAATTTTCTATCTTATTATAAAGTAAAGACAAAATTAGAAAATAATATCAAAATTAGATTAATTATATTTTTAGTCCCTATAAAATAGACGACTTTTGTTTTTATTCCTTTTAAAATTAATTTTATTTAATCCATCCTTACAAAATTATTTATTTTAAAAATGGTCCTTAAATTTAATAAAGACTTCTAATTTATTGGGATAACACATTTATTTCATACTCACAACCTAGTTTTGCATCTCTATTTACCTCACGCATAATGTATATGTCCTAAATTGTTTCCTTACTCATTGATGGATGGATGCCTAATGTTTTTCGTAGAATTGTTGATCGATCCAAGTCCAAATACTAGTATCCGGACCTTATAATAGTAAGAAAGTAACAAGAAAAGAGTAATGGACTATAAATAAATGTAATGCACACAATGTATAAACTCAAACTAGAGGCCCTTTCTCTATTCGGTCCACCTTGGGATCGGAATATCCTACAGGACCACCATAATATTCTTTTATTACTCAAGTCCTTTCTCTCTCTCTCTCTCTCTCTCTCTCTCTCTCTCTGTTACAAATTATCCTTCCTATCTAAATTCTTTCTCCTTTTATAGGAGCTCCCCCAGCCACCATCTCATCAATATGTTTGCGGTGGTTGAGAAAATATCCAGGCAATCCTCCTCTTTTCTTGAAATATATTTCTTAGCTTAATGTCATCCACTTAAGGACAAATCTGTCCGTCCGTCCATTATTCATAGCATCCTCTGTCCATCTGTCTGCCCCATGAAGGGGACATCTTACCCTAATTTAATTATGGATTCTCTTCCTCTGAGTGACTCGGTCTTAATGGGTTGGGATCCAGTCCACACCTTAGGCCCCTAACCTTGTTTCTTTCCCTAACTTGCCTCTTGGACAGATTCTCTCACCGTCCCACTACTTTATCGTTGGGCCGGATCTTCCTTATAATGTACTGACCCTAACTTGGGTCAAGGCCAAAAACTTATAATATTTCGATAGGTCTGGTTCCCATCGCATGCCACTCTTTTTACAAGTCAAAAAATAAAAAGTTTTTTGGTTGTAGTCCACTTTAGATCCTCTGATTCCTCTTATTGGGATAGTTTATAACATCTCCTGCGAAAGATTCCCTTTTAGGAAATGCCACTTTGTGAAAAGGCACTCTACACTAATTCCTGGGGATCTTCCCTATTGATGGTCTTCCTAGTGGGCCATAGGGAAATTATTGGCGTTAGTGGGGTGCATATGCTAGCGTCCTTCCCATTGGGTCGTAGCGACAGTGGACCGTTTGGCAGTGGGCCCTTAAGTGATCGTTTGGCATGCAAATGGATAGTGGACCGTTCTAATCCTCGTGTCCCTTTAATGCCCCTATGCCACCTCAATAATGGGTGGACCGTTGGCATGGGGAAGGACACTACTAGTGGACCGCTTGGTACTTGTGTCCACTTAAATGTCCCTGCCCCACCATAATAATGGATCAGAACGTTTCTTAAGGAGGTTCCTTTTGGAGTCCTTTCTCTACCATAACTGTATCTGGACCATTTTTCTTCCTTTATTCCCTTCTATATATATGGTTATCTTCCTTCTCCTTCTCCTCACCTTTCATAGCAATCCACGGTATTTACTTTCATATTCCCGGCCTATCTCAGCCTTTTTTCTTCTCTCTCATTTTTATCTCCAAAAATGAAGAAAGCCATATCCAAGGCCTCCAAATTTTTCAATGATGGCAAGAAATCCAAGGAGGACGAAAGTGTCTCCTCCATCACTGATGCACAATTGAAGGAGATGAGGGCAATGATTCCCCTCGGCTACGAAGTTTGGAAAGCTAAGGGAACTACTTTGGAGTCGCACTTCAACACTCCCTTCCGTTTGAACGTTCACTATGATTCGATCAAGATGGGATGGCGTTTTCCCATCCATCCCTTATTGGTGGGAATTTGCAACCGGTTCTTCATCCCCCCGGTCAAATTTCCTATAACTCCCATGAGTCCATTTATTGCTTCGTCGCCCGATGCCATAAGAAGGGCATCGAGCCTAGCTTGGATCTCTTTCTCTCTCTTCCACCCCCACAACCGTGAGGCAGGCAGGGGCTTCATGAGCTTCACGCCCGGATGGATATGCAATTCCTGAAGAGTCCAATTGACAAGATAGACAATTGGTTTCGCCGCTTCTTCGTGGTGATGGCTCCAGAAGATCTTCCCTTTCCAAACATGTGGAGGAAAAAAGAAGACAAATTCCCTTCCTACACTTTTCCTCATTTCACTCCTGCCCTTGAGGAAACCTTTCGTCTCCTCCTCAAGAACGGCCACCCCGTTCCCTACAACTCCTACCTCGGGGGTAAGGGATTTTGGGTGCAGCCCGATGCTCCCCTCCAAGCAATATCGGGGAACACAGTCTCTTCTTGGGCTCCTCCACCCAAGACCACACGACTTCGACGGGGTCGCGGCGATTCTCCCGGAGGGATCCTTCTCCAGAGGAGGACACTGAAGGAGAAGGGATGGGGACCGCCACTGGGGACCACCCTTTTCCACTTGGCACCCAGGCGGACGGTAGAGAAGCATATGAACGACCCACAAGGAGAAAAACACTTCTACATTCAGTTGGGTTATTTTGATGTAACTTCTACATTCAGTTAGGCTTAACGGTTTTAGCTAGATTAAATTATTCTCTTTATCGGCTTTTGTTGAAAACTTACTCGCAAAGACATTCTGGGGACTGCCTTCTTCTACTATAATTATGGGCATGGACCCGCATTTTGACCATAAGACCCGTGGTGAATAATCTACTGTACGATCCCCACGACCTCCTCATGCTGACGACCCATTTTTTTACTTCTTAAAGCAACCATTTGTTGTGAGTTATTCTTCACATCATCACATGTATTTTCCATTTACAATTTATTTATTCAGTAAATTCCCAAAATAGTCCTTGTTAATAAGGGGTTTTCCAAATTAGTCATCGATGAGTTTTAATTACCTACGTGGTCCTCTATAATTGAGATTTATTCCCAAAATAGTCCTTTGTATTAAGATATTTTCCCAAATCAGTCCTTAATAAGTTTTAATTACCTACGTGGTCCTCTGTAATTGAGATTTATTCCCAAGATGGTCCTTCGTAAATAATACTCCCTCCGTCCCATATAGATGGGCATGTTTTGTCTAAAGTAGAAATTAAGGAAGTGATAATTTTGTGTTGATTTTCCAAAAATACCCTTGATGTGATAAGTAAAAGTATGATGTGATGTGTAGATTATTAGGAAAAAGGTATGATGTGATAGGTAGGGTTCAAAAAATAAAGGGTAAAAGTGGTTTTTTAATAGAAATGGGTAAGGATTGTAGGATACAATTTTTTTGAAACGTGTAAATCTTTTTGGGACGAAGGGAGTATTACTCAAATAAGGATTAATTGAGAGTATTTTTTATCCGCTAAATTTAGAATTAATTCTTAAAATAATCATTTATAATGAAGTGCTTTCTCAAAATTGTTTTTCTGATCTAATTAAAGATGTGTATTTGATTTGAAATTTAAAAGATTTTTTTAAGTTTTAAATAATTCATAAATTATTTATAGTCAATGTATTTTTTAAATTTTACATTTAGTTGTGCATAAATGATTGTTTCGAGAATATACTTTAAATTTAGATAATCAAAATAGCAAAATATCTCTTAATTAATCCTCATTTGAGGACTGATTTGGACAAACATCTTATTACAAAGAACCATTTTGAGAATTTACTCATAAATAATTTATGAATTATTTACAACTTAAAAAAATATTTTAAATTTCAAATCAAATACACATCTTTAATTAGAAAAACAATTTTGGAAAAGCACTTCATTATAAATGATTATTTTAAAAATTAATTCTAAATTTAGCAGAGAAAAAAATACTCTCAATTAATTATCATTTTAGTAACATTATTTATGAAGGACCATCTTGTGAACAAATCTCAATTATAGAGGACCACATAGGTAATTAAAACTTATTGAAGACTGATTTGGAAAAAGAACTTATTACAAAGGACAATTTTGGAAATAAATCTCAATTATAGAGGACTAATTTGGGAAAACCTCTTATTACAAAAGACTATTTTGAAAATTTACTCTTATTTATTTGATGCGCATGTGGAGGAAGACAAAGTTGTACAGTGGCTCTGCTGGGTAATATTTGTGACATTGTAAGAATCAGCCTGATGCATTGTTTCGAAACGTATATATCGAGACTAATTTAATTACTTAAATTATCATAGGCATGTTGAGCATGCCATGCCCATGCTGCAAATTATCCCCCCTCCACCCGTAGACCTAATATACTAATCCGCAGCCTTGTTATTATCAAATAATGAAAAGAAATTAGATCAATGAAAGGTATGCGGGAAAACATCTCAGAAACATATACATCAAAATCTGTCTGCTGATTCTTTAGAGCAAGAATAAGCAGTTCAATCATTCAACATGTGAAGGAAATAGACTTTAGTTTTCAGTTTGGTCTAGCTTATGAAAAAAAAATCCTAACCAGTAATAGCCCAAAACAGCTCACCATGTAGCCTTACAAGTATAGATGAACGTATCTACAAGTTAGGATATCAAAGGAAATGAGTTATGCATAAACCCAGCTGCAGCTTTATTCATGTGGGATATCTCCAAATTTTGCTTTGATGGGGGGTGGTGGTGGGGGGGCTGTACGTGTATGTAGTGCAGACAAGAACATGGGAAAAAACGGGCTGAAACCGGAATCACAACAACTGATTGAGGTAATGGTCAGTGGACTTCCCGGATGCACCCAAATAGCCAGTAAAACGCTCAGAAACATTTGAAGCAACCCTAGTGAGCCATGAAGTGCTGCGAGTTAATATGCCAGTTGGTGTCTGGTCCAATTCTTCTTGCATGAATTGGCGTTCTTCTGCCATCAATA